AAAACTCTCGGAGGATTACGGCTTCTTATTTCACTGCAAATTGCAAAAGCAAAATAAACTCCAAAAGAAATTAGAAACAAAAGAGAGCAGGGAAGAGAAGAACAGCACCACCACCAGACCACCAGTACTACGCACTAGTCACCATCGCCGGCCTTTCCCTGCCCGATCTCAACCACCTCCGTCTGCGGCTTTCAGTCCTTTGTCTCTGTGCAGAAGCAAAACCAGAAAGCAAGCCCTTCATCTTTGTGCAGAAGCAGCCAGAAAGTAGAAAGAAAACAGAGCAGCGAAGTCACCGTTGGCCAACTACCTCCCCGATCTCAACCGTCGGCGACTCCACAACTGCCTCCCCGGATCTCAGCCCTTCGTGTAAGGATGATAAGCTACCCCTATCCCCTTCCTCACCTCTGTTCCGTCGGCTAAAACATCGACACCCATGGCGACTTTGCCTTTGACGGGGACCGGTGGGTACAGCCGCATGGTCTCGTAGAGACAAGCGTGGGTATAAACCATGTCTTTCACTTCTTTGAAAATCGGCGAATTGGATTTCTCCTGGATTTCTTTCAGAATTTCCAATTCAACTTCTAGGTGTTGAGAAATCAACCAGAAAAACCACGTTAGCGCTGTCGATGTTGTTTCCCTGCCGGCAAGAATGAAGCGGATGACTATGTCAGTGACGAAGTTTTCATTAGAATGGCCGGAGCTCAAGAATCGCGATAAGAGATCCACCGATTCGAGCGAGGATTTATCCTTGAGTTCTTGTTTCTCCCAATGTTCTTCGAAATCTCGGATATCAAAGGTTGCAATTTTGAGTCTTTTCTCCGATCCTATAAATGTAAAATTTAATAAGAATGTAAAAAGAAATGTTTTTTTAGTCAACCGGTTGAACCAGTCGGGTGAACCGATTCAACCGGTTGAACCAGACCCGGTGGCCAAAACGGGTCAGCCACCGGGTCGGGTACAAAAACATTGGTTTAACTTATAAAGAGACGTTGATTTTCTATTGACTTGTGACCTTGTAAGATTGATTTAAGAAAACTCACTACTAGGAAAAGCTTTATTTCGGATAAAAGATTTTAGACAAAAAAATATTTTGATCGAAAAAAGATTTAATTTGATCAAAAATCTTGATCAAAATGTATTTTAGTCCGATTAAAAGGTATTTAACATAATAATTCGGTTTAAAATTCTTTCGGTCAAATATATTGACCGAAAAAAGAGCATCAATTTGACGCTATCGTTAATTCAGTCAAGTATTTTATCTGAGTTATATTAATAATAAAATAGTAAACATTTTGGTCATAAATTTTGACCGAATTAATTTAGTAATTTTTGTTCTAATTTAACTACATTTTTTGGTCAAATTTTTTGACCGAAATAATTGTCTCCTTTTTAAAAAAAAAAATTATATTAGTATGATACTTTCTTTTTTAAAATTTGTTTATTTTTCTATAAAACTATTTTGGTCAAGCGTTTTAACCGAAATGCTTGTCTCTTTTTTTTAAAATTCTATTAGTATGATGCTTTCTTTTTGTAAATTTTTTAAATTTTCTATGAAACTATTTCGGTCAAGAGACTTGACCGAAATAAGTGTCTTTCTTTTCTTTAAAAAAAA